AACAGTTTCATTGGTCCACTGTGACCTGTTGGGTAATTTCAAGCTTCAAGACGCTTGCTGTGTGAAGAAATTAATGCTGTGATTTATTACACTTTTATTTATGGTCTTTAATATGGCGAATTCTTTATATTTGTGGATTTCTTCTGTTAATACTGAAGTCTGATGAAAATTTCATATAATCGCCTAATATATTTACTGAAAATAATGTTGACTCGTCCAATATTTATTTCCACCCCTGTATATGCTGGTGCTTTTAATAGTTAAACTTTTCACCTACAGAAGCGAAACATCCCATTCCAGGTTTAGTCCCACATTTGCTGTTATAATAACCACACTTTTCTGGGAAGGCTTGCCGTTAAAATTGGGAGTGTGGCTGTGGGGATTTGTGATCATTCAGCCGCAAGAGCTTTCGTGAGATCAGGCACTGATGTTGTGTGAGAAGACCCTGGGGTGCAGTCTGCGTTCCAGTTCATCCCAAAGGTGTTCAGTGGGGTTGAGGTCAGGGCTCTGTACAGGCCACTCGAGTTCTTCCACTCCAATCTTTGGAAACAATGTCTTTGTGCACAGGAGCATTGTCATGCTGGAACAGGTTTGGGCCTCTTTGTTTCAGTGAAGAGAAATTTTAACGCTATAGCATACAAAGACAGTCTATGCAAGTGTGTACTTCCAGCTATGTGGCAACAGTTTTGGGAAAAACCACATATGGGTGTCCACATACCTTAGGCCATATACTGTAGTTGCAGATAATTACAGGGTGTCCTAGAGGCTTGAGCAGTCCAAGCTTTGGAGAATGTTTACATTTAGACAGCTGCTGGACATGAGTAGGAGCACAGATCCATATGTAACCCAGGAGGCTCTGTAGCAGAACAACATGCCTGTTGCTTAGAAATCTCCTGGGCCTATTTCACTTCTGCCATAGCTCTTACGTTTGTAGTGCATGCAGAATGTTTTATACTCCAGTATTGCAGGGCCAGGTGCCTTACTAATATGATTGAACACCTAGCCACTGGAGGACACACCCAGATGATTTAACTGTGGTATGGACATGAGCAAATCATACGATCGAGCTTTGTTTAGAGAATGATATCATAGCTCATTGATATAGACGTTGTCATCCTGAGCTATGCCTGGGAGTGGAAGCGAAGCAAATGACTGATGAAGCTAGTGACAGAAAGACAGAGACATAAGGACCTGAGTCCAGCACTGAACGGACGGAGTCATTAATACAGCCGGTGAGATGACGGATTGAGAGTGCAGTCACTTCCTTGCACAATATTTGTTTACTGTTTGAGTGTCACTCTTCTATGTTTTTCTTTCTGCTCACTCCTTCCCCTCTCTCCCTTTACTGCTGTAGTAGCATCTGCTTCAAAGCTTCTTAATTAATATGTTCTTTCAGGTGCTCCCCCCACCACAACCCCACCGCTCTCTCTCGGGAATGGGTGCTGCTGTGTCAATAGCAAAACAACAGTACTGGCAGCTGGTGTATTCACACAATGTGTTTGTGTGTGTTTTGGCGCATAATCGCTCATTTGTTCATTGGTGTGTGTGTGTGTGTGTGTCCGTGTGTGTGCGTGTGACTCAGTTACAGCTCTCAGATCAGGGTCTCTGAAACATCCATAATCTGAAATAAGGAGGAAAGTGAAGCTTTGCTTCTTTTCGCATAATGCATGTTCATTTTGGGTCATTTTCAGGAGTCGGGTTCGTAGTGTTGCCAGTTGTCACATACGTTGAGAACTGAACTGGGCGCGTAGGTCTATTTGGAAAGCATGGATTTGGGTAACATGAGGAATATGCTGCTTAAGGCCCATGCCTCCATTTTGGAGAACACTCTTGTCGTTGAAAATCTTGAATCGTTCATGGATGTAAGTAAAACTGTCAAGCTGTTGTGTTTATGATTTGTTAATTTAGGTGGAGCTTGGTTGTGTTGTATTTGCTGAAGTGCACAGCTGGATGATTTGGCTCTGGGATTCTTTTTTAGATCATGACTCATTTAAATTTTTACTAAAAGAGCGGAAATGCTTAAAAAGATTCTTGCAACATAACGCTTTATGTGGCTCTAGTACTAGGTTCTCTAATGGTCATGAGCAATGATGGTATTTGAGATTTACATTTCAAAGGCAGTGAACATGATGGCACACAGGCTGAAATGCCTGGTGTTTGTAAATCTTACCCAAATAGGTGATTTTGCTATTGCGTCCTCTCCATCTCGTATATTCACACATGCGGAGGATTTTCAAACATGGCTTTTTTTTATTAGCATTGTCTTAATGATCATCACTGATATGAAAAGAAGATAGTTTGGGCATTTTGAAGTAAATGCTACTGTTGTATTGCTACAGAAGAGTAAAGAGTTTGAGTGGGGTAATACGACGGAACACTGCCAAGTAGTGAACAGGACACAAAGGTTAATTGTGGAAATTTTGCTCGCTCATGTTGTGGTTATAAGACGTTATCATAACCTGTGTTTATAATTAGTTACTTTATTAGTTCCTTTATGTAATGAGACCTAGCCTGTAATCTATCATCCTGGATTACAGCGGGTAAGAGTCCAGGGTTCCCGGTTCAATAGTAGTTCATGCTCTGAGTTTAGCATATTCTCCCCATGTCCATACAGGTTTCTTCCATGTTCTCTGGTTTCCACCCACCTCCCAAAAATCATGCCAGTAGGTGCATTTGCGACTCTAAATTGCCCCTAGGTGTGACTGTGTACTCACGTGGTGTCCTGCGATGGACTGGTGTCCGATGACATTCCCTCCTTGTGCCAGTATTTCCAGGATAGGCTCCAGATCCGCCATAACCATGGCCAGGATTCCTGAAGAAGTTATTGAAGATGAATGAAATGTATTAGGGTCTCATTTAAAAGGTCTGTCAGAAGAGAACAACTAATGTAAAGCAGATTTCAATCTTAAAACTCTCAGCACATGCACATAAACACAAAACTGTTCAAAGTTCTGTGATGGGTTTTTATGTTTAAATTTCTTTTCAGCCATGAGCTGTAGTGGTGATGCCATGTAGGTTTTCCTTCAGGGCACTGGGAGAGCCTTCAATGGGTGTGTGCTAGAGTGTTTGTGTTATGATGCATCTCATCTCTCTCTCTCTCTCTCTCTCTGTCTGTGTGGGCGTGTGCCAGGCGGTGGGCAGTGACGGTGTGCGGGCAATGATGGAGAGTGCCCTGACAGCCAGGGACCGGGTGGGAGTGCAGGACTTTGTCCTGCTGGAGAACCACACCAGCGAGGTGGCCTTTATCGACAACCTGCGCAAGCGTTTAAAGGAGAATCTCATCTATGTAAGAATTTCTTCTCACTCATTCCAACTAAAGGGCAAGGTCTTGGCGCTTTTATTCTGCAAACGTATATCATTCTCTCAACTGTGTTTTGAACAGACATACATTGGCTCAGTGTTGGTGTCGGTGAATCCCTACAAAGATTTGGAGATCTACACCAAGCAGCATATGGAGCGGTACAGGGGTGTTAACTTCTACGAAGTCTCCCCTCACATGTGAGTTGTTATTCCATCAAGTATTACTTTTCCAGTGCCTTTTATAAGTATTCACCCCCGCCCTTTTGAACTTTTCCACATTTTATAGTGTTAGAACTTGGAAATGAAATTGACTTAATTGGAATGAATATGGAATGAATCTACACAAAATATCCCCAAGCCCCAAAACCCTCAATCTGACTGGGCCAATAAGACTGAGGAAATATTTCATGATCCAGATGTGCAAAGCTGATCGAGACATGGTAGAGACAGAAGCTGTAATTGCAGCCAATGTTTGTTCTGTCTAGTACTGACCCAGTGGGGTGAAAACTTATGCAATCAACAAATGTCTGCTTTTTTATTATTATTAACCATTGTAAATATTTTGCTCATTTGTTATAATATATGTTCGATATCTTGTGTAAATCAAATAGTAAAAATCCCAATTAAGTTTATTTCAACTCATTCAGATCTGTAACCTCTGGCATCCAACTGATCACAGAACACAAACATGCTTTGGAATAGTGGTCACTTTCATATTGCAATATCACGATTTAAAAAAGCCTGTACTAATGCTTAACAGATGATATATTATGCAGCCTAAATCCATGCTTCTCATCATTTCCATAAACTCCCTGTCACTGACACAGTAACGTGTTTGCCCAGGCTGTACTGGCAGTTGCTAAGAGCTAGTTGGTTTCTAATGTGAGGGGGGAGTGTAGTGAGTCCTTTGTTTTTGAGGAAGTGAGCAAAAAAGAAAATCTAAAAAACAAAAAACAACTAAATAAATGTCTGTACACCAAAATCCGAACTTCACCATATTAACCACTACATATATTTTTAACATGTTTATGTGATGTGCTGTATATGTGCATGTGTTAATTGTTACTGTAGAAATGATACCCCTATGTCTGTCACTATTGTCATGGTTCTGACAAATCAGATTTGACAATTCAACAGTGCAGTGGTATAAGTTATTATAATGCAGTGTTTCGTAATTCCTCTTCTTATTGTAGATATGCGGTGTCTGATAATGCGTATCGCTCCATGCGGACCGAGAGACGGGACCAGTGTATCCTGATCTCAGGAGAGAGCGGTGCTGGGAAGACCGAAGCCTCTAAGAAAGTTCTGCAGTACTATGCCTTCACCTGTCCTGCCAGCGAACAAGTGCAGACCGTGAAAGACCGCCTACTGCAGTCCAACCCTGTTCTGGAGGTAACAACCCACATCCTGCCAGGAGTGATTTTAGCATTTTATAGTCAGCAAGCTATTAGTGTCTATGAACATGCTGTTGTAAACGTTTAAAATAATCTAGAACGATCAGTTGTTTCATATGTTTTATGCTCTTAAGGAGAAGACAAATCCTTTATTTGTAACATACATTACAACACAGGGAAATTATTTTTCTTCGCATATCCCAGTTTGTTAAGAAGTCGGGGTCAGAGCACAGGGTCAGCGATGATAAGGCACCCATGGAGCAAAGAGGGTTAAGGGCCTTGCTCAAGGGCCAAACAGTGGCAGCTTGGCGGTGATGGGGCATGAACCCCCGACCTTCCGATCAGTAACCCGGCGCCTTAACCATTGAGCCACCACTGTCCTAAATGTGCGAAAATGGTTTAAAATGGCCTAGAAACATACCTACTGTACAGTTTAATTTCATATAAAAACAACAGGGTCTAATAATCATAAATTTGCAAATTAGAAACATCCACGTAAACTCCTGTCATCCCTAATAGGTACCAGCTAATTACCACTTAAAAATTTACCTAGCTAAATAGGATGTCTGTATCTGAAACTAGATTTGCCTTGTATATACCTAAGAGGTCTGTGATGAGCTTGCATTTGTGAAAGTAGGGTTAAGGATGTGAGATGTATAACATAAGCAGAGCGGTTACTGCCGTGCATCCATAATGGTTTACAGATGTGTATAAAAGGTGGCAGACACCCTTTAATATAAGCATGCAGCTGTTTAATAGTATGTTTATATACATGTATGTGTGTGGCGGTCTGAGAAAACCCATTTGTTGTGGCTTTGACTGTACAACATACTTTGACACTTCTGCTTTAAAAACATAAATAATTCCCCAGAACAATGAATACTTTTTTTTTTTTTGTTAACTTTCTAGACTCTCCTCGGTTTCTCCAAAGAGTATGTCTGGTAGAACAGCTGCAGGCCATGAAAAAGAGCTCATATAAAGAAAGACGGACAGTTTTCAGGGTCACGTTTATTATTTTTTTGTATTTTATTTATTATGTGTATTATGTGTTTCATAAAATAGCACATCCCTAAGTCTTTTATTCCTCTTATTCCACAGTGATTTACCAACAATTACAATTGTTAATGTATTAATGAACGAAGCATTATGCTATTTAACCACTTGGGAAAGGGCCCTCTTCTCATCTTAAAAATGGTTAGCTTTTCTCCCCTAGACAGCTCTCTGGCCTTGTTGGTTTATCCTTTTTAACAACAAACGCAGTCTTTACAGGTAAAAACCTATGGCTCAAACCAAGAGTAGACATTCAGAGCTATTAATTCTTTAAAGAATCAGTTTAACAGGGCACACCTGGGCAGCAAGAAACAATATTTTTGATCACGAAAAAAAATGGTGTTTCAAACAAAATATATAAATATCAAGAAATGAAAGCTGAAATTGTGATCCATCGTCTCATATTCATCTTTTGATTTCAAACCCAAATGCCTTCAATGTATAGTGAAAAAAATAGAATTGGCCTTACTTTCAGAGGGGACTGTAGTTGCATTTAATGTCTAGAACTTTTGTGAGACAATTTAGTTCCTGTTATCAGCTTAGTCACTGTTATTGTTATTTTTGTTATACCAGCTTCTCTTTTTTATCTCTCTTGAAGTTAATAAGACTCTCTAAGTGCTGACACTGGAGACTACTCCCATGAATGTTAAATACAGTGGGGGAAATGAGTATTGGACGTGTCAACATTTTTTTCAGTAAATATTTTTCCAATGAGGTTATTCAGATGAAATTTTCACCATAAACAAATCCAAACTTTAAAGTCCATAAATGAAGTTATGTGTAATAAAGAGGAATGACACTGGAAAAAAGTATTGAACATGCTAATTGAAATTTATTTAATGCTTAGTGGAGAAGCCTTTGTTTGTAATGACAGCTTCAAAATGCTTCCTGTTTGAAGAAATTAATGGGCCGCAGTATTCAGGTGTGATTTTGGCCCATTCTTCTAAACATATTGTCTTTAATTGTTCCATTGGATTGAATTCAGGTGATTGACTGGCTCACTCTAACACCTTGTTGTTGTTTTTTTTCTCTGGAACCAATTGAGAGTTTCCTTTGCTGTATGCTTTGGATCGTTGTCCTGCTTTAAGGTCCACCCACGTCTCATTTCATCATCCTGGTGGATGGCAGCTGATTCTTCTCTAGAATCTCTCTGTAAAGAGCTCTATTCATCGTTCCTGCAAGTATATGAAGTCTGCCAGTACCAATGCTATGAAAAACAGTCTCGCACCATGATGCTTCCACCTCCAAACTTCACTGTTGGTATAGTGTTTTTAGGGTGATGTGCAGAGCCATTTCTTCTCCATACATGGTGTGTAGTATGACCGCCAAAAAGTTCAATTTTGCTCTCGGTATTTCATAGGCTTGTCCAAATGAGTTGTAGCAAACTTTTAAACAAGCTTCGACATGCTTTTTCTTTAGTAATGGAGTCTTGCAGGGTGAGCGTGAGCAGTGGAGTGCATTTCCTATTGTTTCTCTGTGACGATGGTACCTGCTGCCTCCAAGTGTTTCTGGAGCTCTTTGAGTGGTCCTTGGCTCTTGGGCTACTCTTCTGTCTATTGTTCTGGCCGGTTGATGACTGAGTGATGTTGCTTCCACTTGCAGATAATGGCCCCAGTGGTGCTTACTGGAAGATTCAGAAGGTTTGAAATACCTCTGTATCCGATTTCATCAATATGTTTCGCAACAATAAAGTTGTGAAGCTCTTGGGAGAGCTCTTTGCTTTTACCCATCATGAGATGTTTCTTGTGTGACACCTTGGTAAGGAAAAGCCTTTTTATAGACCATCAATTTACTAACCCAGCTGACATTAATTTGCACAGATAGGGGGTATAATTACTTATGTATTTCAGATGGTTCCCTGCTTTACCTTGCCTTGGAGAACTGCTTTTTCTTAATGTGTTCAGTGTTAATGTGTACTTTTTCCTCCGTGTCATTCAACATTATTACACATAAAATTTAATGTTCTGAATTCTTTATATTTACAGATTTCTTGAGTTTATACTGATGTCTGGTGAAAATTTCGTGTGAATAGCCTCATTGGAAATATATTTACTGAAACAAATGTTGACGCGTCCAATACTTATTCCCCCACTGTAAATCTTTCCTTAACGAAAGTTGCACCATAATAACGACTATATATTTTCATCCATTTTTTAAAATTAGCTTTAGATTATATCCATCGTCTTCTTTATGTAGTAGAAAAGGTCAAAATGGTTTTCCCATGCCATCACACCTAAAAGTGTGTAACTGTCTGAATGATTGCTATTGCTTATACTTCTGTCCTCTCTCCTTATGATCATTCCCTCTGTTTGTCTCACTCTCATTTGTCTCTTTCAGGCTTTTGGAAATGCTAAAACTCTGCGCAATGACAATTCAAGCCGTTTTGGGAAATACATGGACATCCAGTTTGACTTCAAGGTAATATTTGTCACTGAGGATGTGTTCAGCTGTCATTGGGATTGTGGCTTTGCTGCTATTTGTCACCCAGAGTGAAGAATGCTTGAAAAACTACAGTGCATCACTGATCTTAATATTCATACTTTTATGCATCTGTACCACCTCCCTTTTACACTGCTTGGGTGGGGTTGTGCACCTGTATGCCCTTGCATGTATGTGTGGTGTTGGTGATGTTTGTGTATACGTGTATGTCAGCGTCCCACTGTTATTCCCGTTGGCTTTCCCCGTTGGCAGGGCGCTCCAGTTGGGGGTCAAATCCTAAACTACCTGCTGGAGAAATCTCGTGTCGTGCACCAGAGCAACGGAGAGCGAAACTTCCACATTTTCTATCAGCTCCTCGAGGGCGGCGAGGAGGATCTGCTCAGGAGACTCGGCCTGGAGAGGAACGCACAGCAGTACCAGTACCTCGTGAAGGTCAGGACAATTGAGAGCATGCATCAGCATATAAGCGCACGCACACTCCGGAGTCTTCATATTTCTGAACTCCCCTGGTGTTTAATACGGGAAATTAACAGTCATTGTCCCTCCCTTCACTTCCTCTGTTCTGCTGACTGTATGTTTGAGTCTTTCTGCCTGCAAGGAGTTAGGGAGAAACACACACACAAATGTACACCCGTTCATACCATACCGTTGATGCGTCCTGACTGCACTTCTCATTTACATACATATTCAGCTTGCGGTTTGAGCTCATAGCTCATTCATTGTTTTTTATCTGCCTTTAAATGTTCTACGGGTCCTTAATTACCTTTTAGAAATTAACTGCAAAAACAATGAGTTTTTGCTGCCCTCCAGCCAAAAAACTCCTACAATTCCTAAGCTCACTGCAGACTATATCATTTTTCAATAAAAGTGAGGAGTGTGCACTTTTTTTTTTTTTTTCTGTAATATAAAGTTTAATCGATTATTTCCCTGTGCCTTATATTTAGTATTACATAATTATCCACATACAAACTAAATTGGCAACAGTATACATTTTGTTGTCATCCTGTATATGATGATGATCTCTGAATGCTGGAACTATGCATAAGGAAAACAGCACTTATGGGACAACACTATAACCACACTATTACCTGTGGCTACATGATGCTTTCCACTGATGAAGACTAAGTAGTTGGATATCAAATGGACCTTTTAATGAATGTTTATAAATGGCATTGATGCGGAAAAAAATGCTTGTGTGTTTGTATTACAGGGTAATTGTCCCAAAGTGAGCTCCATTAATGACCGCAGTGACTGGAAGGTGGTGAGAAAAGCTCTGAGCGTCATTGGGTTCAGTGATGATGAAGTGGAGGTAAGAGGGCCTATTGGTCATAGCTGTAGAATTAGTGAAATTAATTTCATACCCAAATTACAGAAAGGAAATGGAAGAAATGTACAGTATGGCAAATGCAACACATGTACATCTGATGGGAAAAAAAGAGCGATTGATATTGACTGCCAAACAATAAGAAGGGAATAAAGCATGACAGGATTTGCAGTTCTAGGAAAATAATCATTGATTGGGTGGGTGCATAACAGAGTTATTGTTACGACCTCAAACTTTCCAATAACAGCAGGCCTTATTCCTCTTATACCACATCAATTTACTAACAGTTACATTTATTAATGAACAATGTCTTACTCTTAATCCGTTTATGGCTACATTTAGCATTGTGGAATGCCCATGAGACAAATTTACATTTGCCTTTATATATATGGGATTTACATGTGTGGCATTTAGCAGATGCCCGTATTCAGAGCAACTCACAGAAGTGCTTTGTAGACTCTATCAAACACACATCCTCATACTAGTACACTAGGTCAGGGACCAGGAATACCTGTCAGTATAAAAACCCCTGTTAGGGAAGTTAGTACAGTTAGTTCCTGTAATCAC